ACTATCCCTAGATTTAAATGTACGTGTGTGATTTTTATTTTATTTTTTATTTTTTTTTTTTTAGGACCCTACATAACTTCACCAGACACAGACACAGACACTAATCGTTACTTGATTTTAATCCGTGCGATTAGTTAACCAGGCTAGACCTGAGTTCTCACAAGAAACACCGACCATAATAATACTTCTTTATTTCTTACTATATACAAATGAAGTCTTTTCAATGCATAAGAAGAAATACGTCCTAATGTATTACATTTACCTACTATTCTAAAAATTCGTTAATGGAATAGGGTTCCATGTTTATTAAAAATTGTTTTAGTCTTCTTTTAAATTCGTTAATATCCCTAATCAGTTTAATACTTTCTGGGAGATGGTTAAAAAATTTCATTGAATTGTAGTAGGTGCCCCTTCTAAACAATGACAAGTGGTATTCAGGTATTCCATAATTTATTTTGTTTCTCGTAAGGTACTGATGGTTTAGGGAATTAGTTCTAAAGTATTGAGAATTTTTAAATAGAAATATTATACATTCATAGATGTATAATCCGTATATGGTAAGTAATAGTAAGTATGCTTTTTTTGGATGCCAACAAAATCAAATGCACATGCACATACTGATGACAAAACTAATAAAAACGGGTTGTTAACTGCCCACCGACATCGTTAGTCTTGTGGCTGCTAATGATTAAAAATATTCCGATATTCTAATAGGTAATGGTTCTCTATGGTTCTTGAGACTTGAGACACAGATTCCCAAACCTAAATGTTTCACTCCTCTTGTCTGACCGTTTGTTTTATACCTTAATTGCCGTGATCTAGTACATCGTGTTATCTATATTAGTCGCAATGACAGGCCTCTATGTGCTATGGTGAAGTCCAGCTTATCGTTATATACCCTCGACTATCATGGGCTTGATCCCGTTAGAGTCTTTATTTAAAAAAATTATCTCAGATTGCATAGAATTTTTACCCTGTAACAATGTTGAAATCGGTTGTTTATTATTATTTTAAGCCAACCTAATTCTTGTGGTTCGTATTGTGCTTGTGAGCAACCACCATCTACTATTTGACGATAAGAGTGCGGTAGGCGTAGGCTTATTTAGAAATAAGTTTCTATTTGTTCTGTTTCATGTTTGTTTTGTATGGGTAACGCTTGTTTTAGTTTTGTCTACAAAATATACCAATAAAGTTGCTAATTTAATTCCAAGGTGTGTCCAAGTCCTATGGATGAACTCCTATGATTCATCAGCTGCATATATTCAAGAAAATTGATGTATTGTTCTTTACTTGACTTTATATACTCGATGCCGATAGGACAATTCAAAAATATGATAGAAGGGGTTTGGTTATCGAGACAAAAGAGAATTCCTTTGTCGAAGGGGAGAAACTTAAGGAAGGTATGGGAATACTCGAGAAGATTCGGATTCATCATTCTTTATTCAATGATCAGAGGAAGGATATCCGTATTACTAATTTCGGATTTCAAAAAGTGTTTGTTTAAAGCGACATCTTCGTAATAGTAGCGAAATTGTCAATCGAAAAGCATACAAATCTCATTTAATATTAATCGCTTCGATCCCAAATTGTTAGTTCACTCTTTCATCGTGAATGTATTAAAGTGAAAATTGTCGCTCTTTGGACAAATACAAATCAATTGTCGTTTCGATTTTGATTTATCAGTTATTTTGTTTTCGATTTACGTGTAAATCCTTTATGGCCGTATGCACCGAAAAAATGTGAGCTAAGCTTAGCTTAAGCCTAGCTTAAATTCCATGGCAACCATTGTTCCAATAATCAATACCATGGATATTAATGTCCGTATGCACCGAAAAAGTTTAGCGGAGCTTAGCTGAAGTGTACCTTAATATCCATTATTGGAACAATTGTTGCCATGGATTTTAAGCTAGGCTGAAGCCTAAGCTCAGCTTAAACTTTTTCGGCGCATACGGCCATAAGCTACACTTAAACTAAGCTCCGCTTGAACTTTTTCAGTGCATACGGCCATTAATACCTAAACCAACCTTCCTTTTTCCGACAAAACATTCAAAAGTTCCTACTCATTCGTAAAACACTTATTTGAATGCTTCAAATTTAAGGTGGTATTCTACTCCGTCGCCACCTATCTGCAGGAATATCTCTTAAGGACAACGTATTTATCGAACAGTTAATAAAATAGGTATTTTGATGTAAAGTTCACTAGAGCAATAATTATACTTAGCTTTCTTTCATTTTCCCTTATGATTATTGTCTGGTTACATTTTGGTCTTTCTAGTTGTGTATTTTATTTAAATTACTGTGTGCAATGATATGCGGTCAACTCCACTACCGACCACCACAAAGCACCGGTCCAGCTAGCTCAAATCAAAATTGAAACTTTGGTTTTTATAATTTCTCCTCATACACTGCCACGAAGAAAAATTCCAATATTGACTTAAATTAATAATTTAGGGGACTTATGCCTCGCTCAACTTCTGAAAATTCTACACTACACTACACAAATTTTCATTAACACCCGACACAATTTTTGGACATGAGAAAAAATCTGACATAAAAGCCTCTATCCGGGTCGCACAATGGGTTCAAATAAACGCACAATGGCAAATGATTGACAATGACAAAATTTTATTCCGAAACACAAAGAACGTTAAACAAAATTTCTGAAAGAAAGAAAGGAGAGTTCGACAGTAAAAAGAAAATTTTAAATTTCCTCTACTAATCCTGATAATCTCGTCGTAAACAGCTTTGCGATAAACAAGGTGTACTTAACTCCAAACACAAATGCTGACAACAGTGACTATTCATATTGTACAAACCTTTAATGAATAATAACAGAGCCTTGACAGAAGGTCTGACGGTGCACTAAACCTGCTCGCTTTTTACTTCAACTTGACTTTCTCCGAAATCGGACCACAAGCGTTGAAGTTCTCACAACTTTCTAACTTTAGTTAACTTTCTTCTGTACAAAAATATTACGAAAATGACAAACTGCGTCTTTAATCCATCAAATAGGGTGGAACGCCCGAAGCGTAAAGAAACGTCATTTCCCACCGTCCCGAACCAGGAAACTTGCAGCCTTCTGCTTGCAGTATTTAACGAAACACTACTTCCGTAACAAAATAAATCTTCTTTCTGTTTTTACAGATTATTACACTATTAATATATGACCAATTAGCTTGGTTTCAAATTCTAACCAATCAGATGATTTTTTAAGTGATTGAAAGCTAAATAGCTTTTTATTAGCGATTAAACGCTAGGTAGCTTTTTATCTGTCATAAAAATGCATGTAGGAATGCATAAAATAAAAGATAAAATTGTTCCAGCTGCCACGATTTACGCTTATATGCGTTCGACCCAGAGACATGGAGAGAGGAGATAGCGCATGAAACTGCGCGAAGTGACAAAACAAGGGGGCTGCCATTTTGACACCCATTGAAGCGCGAAATTTGAACAGGACTATAAAGGTTTACTGACGCAACCCAGAGACATCTAACGCAATCTTCATACACTACACTCTATTCGGCAGCAGCTCCGTAGGAAGAAACTAATATCTCAATCCAAATGAACAAAAGAAAATGCCAGTGACGTTGACGTTACAAAATAAACACTTAAACCTCGAAAAAAGCTCTCCTAAACACGAACACACGCTAAAATAACACCACTATAAACACAACGTGACACAACGGGTGTAAAAATGGCAGCGCCCATGAGGTCGCACCCTTTCTTGGATGCGCACTCGTCGATCAGCGATCTCCTCTCTCCATGTCTCTGGTTCGACCCCCTTTCTTTATAAATTCATAAGGTTTGGTGTAACTTAGCTGGTCAACTGTAATATTTACGAATCCGAATCCGAATCCCAAGCTAACTTAAGCGACATCCACGATTTTATCACACTTTTGATCTCTAGTTTTTCCGTTGCAACAAAACTTTCGTGTAAAAATAAAATTATCCGATTAAAAATCAAGCTCTTATGTATTTACTCCCGATAAATCGCCTTCATAACTAAACTGAAATACTTCTTATATACAGGGTGTCTTGTAATTATTTTAGGTGTTTAGACAGAAATCACATCTGCAAGACGTTGTTTATACAACATTATATTTATATCAATAAGTAACTGGCTGATTAATTCAATCCAATGGCATAAGAAACCGGGCATCAAATTTTCACAAAGCCCTTTGGGAAACCAGTTATTTTACACGAATATTTACGACCACGAATAAGCGAGATTTTCTTGAACGCTAACTAGTGGATAAGCATCTTGCAAGTCAGCTGTTAGCACTATGCTTCGTTAAAGATGAACGTCGCGCGTTTGAGTGAAAAAATAAATACACGTGATTATCACACTACACCGGACACACCCTCATCCCCTGGTGATATTTCGTGATTTTTAACCCCCCTCCTCTCCCCGTGTCACGTGATTAGTGGACGAACCCAGTTTAGATAGTATGATAATTCGAAGAAATCGCGAACGAAACAGATTATAAATCCGTATAATTATTCCCAAGCGATTCAAGATAGGCATGGGCCACTCCCGATTTTTGTGAGGAATTATAAATTGTTTACATTTTAATATGTATAGCTGTGCATCGAATTGCACGCGATCGCATTTTCCGTAAGAGAACGACAATTTTAGCCGATACCATTTGTACAGAGTGGTTCAAATTCATGGGCCAACATTGGAATCTCCATAACGGTAAGAGATTCAGGGCGGTTAAATGGGAACAAAGCCGCCCCTTTTTGTGATTCAAAAAACGTATCTAATTTTTTGAAACATCTTTGAAAATGTCAGAGATATCACCCAAAAACTGCAAATGTGAAATTGAGCTTATACGGTGGACCTCTCGTTGTGGCGATTGTAGCTCTATAATTACAGACACAATTAACATAGGGGTCTCAAATTTTCAGGATTGTCGCTGAGTGGTAATTATATGAAATGAAATTGTAAAAATTTACTAGAGGAGCCCGTTACAATTACCGTAATAATTTGACAACAAATATTGGAGTTCGTTTAATTAAACGATAATGATTTTGGAGGTTTATTTTTAATAGTACAAAAGATGGTATATAGGTTACGATTGTAGACCTCATCGACAGTGTTCAAAACCCAAAAGACTTACTGCATTACTTTAACTAGATGCATATTCTACGACGAATGGAGTGAGGAGTAATTATAATTAATCAACTTATAATTAACTGCAGGTTCTCAGCATCCTTTAAATACATATGCTTGTGTTCTTCAAAAAGATTGGTCAGGCTATCTACGAAGGTTTTATGTAAATCCCATACTTGCTCTGGTGTTGGATCGTCCACCCTTTGAACTTCGATTGGCTCACCAACTATAAAATTCAAAATAAATAAGTCCACTTACATAATCAAGGGCCAGTTTTTCATGTTACCGTTAACTCTGTCTGAGAGTTAGGTTCCATAGTAACAAATTTATTCACATAGGAAGCTATTTCACATGAAAAACCGGCCCTAAATGGTTTATGCAAACTTCTTACTTTTTAGTCGGTATTATGTATTAAACAGAAACGATATCAAAAACTGCACGACAATGCGAAATAGTGATGTGCTCCGTATTGGCTCAAAAATGCTAATAAATGAACAACACATTTTTAAAGTCAGCAATGTGCCATGGATACACTGTGCATTTTTGATCAGAAAATCACTTCTTGGGCTCCGAAATAGTACGTTTATTTGAATGGGCCAAAAGGTCCAAAGCTCATTTGATGACATTCTATTTTAACCACTACCGAACTTGCAAAATGGGTATATGTAGCAGTGATTATGTCAATTAGCTCAATTTAGTAATTTCTTGTACGTTTCTAGACGTTTAGCCATAATATATGGGGATTTGGTGTATACAGTAATAAAATGTTACAATAAATGATTGGCAAAAAAAGTTATTACTTACTTAAAACAGTCAGTGGTTTTCTGTTTGGAACCAAACCGAAAGAATATTGAAGAAACCCTCGCCCGATTGGAATTAATGCAGGCAATCCAACCACCTTCTTCGTCCAGTCCTGTATCTTTCTTAATAAGGATCCTTCTGGATTACTAACTTGATCAAACAATTCGGTTTCACCAAATGAAAATACAGGCACAAGCGGGCTACCTGTCTTCAGAGCTATTTTTACGAAGCCGTTCCTATTCTTTAACACTAAGCGATACTGACCAGGCCGTGAATGATAGGCTTCTGCCGTACCTCCGACAATTATCACAGCAATATTACCGCCATCCGGATTGTTTAGTATCCACTTGATTGATTTTGCACTGGCGCTGCACATTCCCAACGAGTAAATCAGTTCGCGAAAAAATGGCATTATGAAATGAGATTTTAGGGTGATGAGATGTGGTGTGTGGTGAGGGTGTTGGTCGTTAAACTCGGTGGCGTTCGTTGCAAATGCGGAGAAGGCGCCGGTTGCCAGCATTCCATGAGGAAATGAGCAGAACAGGTAGTTTCTTTTCGGGTCTAATTTAACACCAGGTACCGTTTTCACAGTCAAAGGGAAGAAGTCCTTCATGTACTTCCACCACGACAAGTTCCTGACCCAGTTCAATCTTCTTCCGCCTCTATCACAAGTTTCTCGATCGATAAACCACATCCATATTAAGTACAAAACTACGCTCAACCAAAGGCTAGAGTAAACTAGTAAGTACACTGTTAGCAAGAGACTTATCGCAACACCGGACACCAATGTTATAAACCAACCACCGGCTCCTAACGTCTGCAGTCTCCTTTCCAAAGGTATTTTTAAAGGGGCGAATTTTATTCCCATAAATTCCATCGTGCTAAAATTAAAACTGCTTCCTCTCTCAACTAGCTATGTAGGTATACCTACTTACTCAAAATGTCTACCTTAGATGGTTACCGATTAAGGATAATATAAGCGCGAAACGGTCGCTTACTACCTACTCTTAGATTATTCAAGATATCATTCTCAGTAGAGAATTTAATTGCGTAGGTGCCTACATTTTATCTTTAAAAACCTTATCTGTAACAAATAACGAATGTATAATGCGTTCTATGCTAATATGTGCCTATTTACCTGTTTTTGTGAATGCAAGAAGTAGTGGGTTGTCTCTGATACAAACCAGGGGTTACAGAAAAACTCAGGAAGCATTCTCACCTTGTTACGTGGGTTTAGTGGCGTGTTGCACTTTGTACGGTTACTCAAATACTATCTGTTATTATGTCACATCATATCACGTCACTTAAGTGGTAATATAAACTTCAGATTATGACTATTAGACGATAGAAGGTCAACTCAGCTTATGTTTGTAATTTTATATTAAATATATAGGTACTTTACTTACCTATTTTTTTAGGTAAGAAGCGCTTCTGCGATATTTGAATGGGCGATTTTTTGAAACAACGATGAAACATGAAAACTTTAAAACATAATCTCATCGACTCCAAAATGTGATTAGGACCAGCAAAGTGTGTTTTGAGTTTTCCCCAATTATTGGGTACGCTGAAAGCGTTCCACCATACCGTTTTTTTGCGGGTGATGGTATGGTGCCGTGTGAATATATTTGGCCTGATAAAACGATCTATAGTCGAGTAAAATTAGAGTTCAACCTAGAACAAATTCGAGACAAGCAAGCGATGCCCGAAATTAGTAGTACCAATAATGCTCTTTAACATACTAAAAGTCCCCATATCTCGGAGGTGCGGAACATCCTGACAATTGAGCCGCCATCTTGGATTTTCATGTTTTTTGCTAATAACTTTGTTATTATTATTTTTTTCGGAAAAAGTCAAGAAAGGGAATTTGTGAAGCTTTATAATACAAATCCAATGCGTCTTTATTTCTCGAAATCGAAACTAATTAAAAAAACTAAACATGATTAACGTATATTTATTTGCAATGGACAATTTAGGATAAAGGTTCAGCATCATCACTTTCTGGGTCTAAGCTGTTGCCGCAACAATTGCCAGTACAATTCCTGCTCCAAGACATTGTTTTGATTCGTAACCAGCCAAAATCTTTAGGGTTCAATTCCTCACCCATCCAATTCTGGACCTGTAGTGTATACCCGTCTCAAATGTAATCTAGCAGCATGCGATGTAATGTAAGAGGCAATTTAAACTTGACACATCATCCGATTCAAATTTATATAAAACCACGAGATCTGCAGCTTTTTAATCAGTTCGACTGAAGTTCTGCTTGTCGCTTTCTTGGACGACTTTATTGACGATGATTGTAAAAGTAACATTCGGTAGTTATTTGAAAATATTGCGGTAAACTAAAATTTGGACTGAAAATTGTTGAATCGATAAAAAATAATTAATCTTTGGTCTATAAAGTTCCAATGAATTTCGCCTATCGGATAAATCGAATTATTCGCGAAATTATTCGATGTATAGTGCGATTATTGATACAATAAAAAAATCATAACTCCCTTAGTTTCCAATCGATTTCGAGAAATAAAGAAGCATTAGATTCGTATTTTAAAGCTTCACAAATTCCCTTTCCTAACTTTTTCCGAAAAAAATAATAATAACAAAGTTATTAGCAAAAAACATGAAAATCCAAGATGGCGGCTCAATTTCGAGTAGTCAAAGAGAGCGCAAGCGATGGCGCGAGCAGTCGTGTAACATGAGCTCCAGGTAGATGTAATGTAATCAAAGGGGGCGTCCGGTGTTTTCAAGTTTCCAAATACGGCACTGTTGTGACGGTGGACTTTGGGCATGTTAAGTTGGTAAAATTTCTGGCGAGGATTGCCTAAGATGTGAGGTAACTGTTCGTCCTTTGACTGTGCTTCGCTGATGGTTCAGGAACGCAAAGAAGTGAGCATGGAAATTGTCTCCACGCGAGAGAGAGTATCTGCCACAAGGTTTTGTTCTCCAGGCGTGAATTCAAAGCGGGTATCGAATTGAGCGATAAACTCGAGCTGCCTGAACTCGGATTCACATTATCAGTCACGTCACGGTCCGCTAACGGTACGGTCAACTATTGTAGCATGTATTTCTTATGAACATGTTTTAACCGTAACCTGACCAATACTGTGAATATGCAATACACGCTATAATCATTGACCGTACCATGACCGGACCGTGATTTGCCCGTGACGTGATCGGTAATGCGAATTGACCTTAATTTGACGAACCCTAATCGGAGCGTTGCGTCAGGGCAAAGGTAAGGGATCGATGGTCAGTATAGGTGGTAAAAGGTCGACTCTCTAAGATTTGTTGGAATTATTTTATGGCAGCGAAAACGACTAAGAATTCGCGGTCTTAGGTGGAGTACTGATATTCGTGTACGGTCTCGGAGAGCTTCCTGGAACAAATCCAAGTAGCAACCATAAACCATAGAGCTGTTGCTGGTCGAATATACTACACCGACAGCAGTGTTAGGTGTAAGGCGATCTTTTGTTCAAGGGGGAAAAAAGATGAAGTTGCGGCATTGGACATTTTCTATACTTGCATCGTTTGAAATCCGCCTCAGGTGTCCAATCAAACTTGACCGTCTTTGTTGAGCAACCCTTATGACGTTCTGAAAGGAGGGGGCGTGTGACACACAGTGGCGATAATTTATCACGTCGAGGAATAGGCTACGTTGCGAGGAGTCAGCAGGCTTAGGGAATCCCTGATGGCCTGCATTTTAGGTTGCGGAGGGCGAAAACCTTCCTTTCAAGCATTGTAACCAGCGAAGGTGACTTCAGAAAATCCAACTTAGCACTTGCTCCAATTGGATAGAAGCATGGTTGTTTGAAGTAGCGTAAGAACCTCATTGAGATGTTGTAGAAGCTTCTCATGATCGGAGGAAAAGATTTTGCTAATCAGGGACGAAATCCAGCTTCCTAATCAGGTTGTTTAGAGTCCGCTGTAGAAATTGAGCGGCGTTGTGAAGGCCTATGGGCATTCCAACGAATTTGAAAAGGTAAAAATGCGTAGTAACGGCCGTTTTACAGAAGCGACTGGAATCTGGAAGAAGGATCGTTGCAAATCGATAACCGAAAATACCGAATTACTGGCTTTTTGAAGCAAGTCTTCAATAATTGGCAGCGAGTAGTGGTCTGGGCGAGTGATAAAGTTCAAATGTCGATCATCTCCAGTGGCGCGCCATATTCAATCAGCCTTGGGCACTATGTGCAGAGGACTGGCCCACTGGTACGATGTTGTTTGAATGATGCCTTGTTCCAATAAGAGGTCGAATTCTTGCTTTGCCGCACTGAGAGGCGTTCTCCTGCAAGTCGGCCAGGACGAGCAGAAATTGGAGGTTGGCGGCGAGCAGGTGACAATTTGATGTTGGATTGGTAAATCGGGAGTCCTTACCATTTCTCCAGACGAGATAGTAGAGTAGGAAAACTGAACAAGTTAAAAAGTAATCGTAAACGATTTAAAGGTGCCATTCACATGCGGATATGTACGGCGGATCTGTACGCGGGACAGATCCATATCAATTCGTATGTGTGTATCCGCGTGTTCGGCGTACATATCTCGCTCGCCATCCGTCGATCAGCACGACGAGCACGGACAGCGAGCCCGACAAATACGCACGTGTGTAGTCGTTTTACGGATTTGTTTCCCGGACATAGAATCACAAAATAGGAATTTCTTGAAAATATGTTTGGAAATTTAAGAAATCAAAATGGAAATGCGATTAATCCTACTCCAATTAAACAGTCATTAAAAAAATATTTTGTTTAAATTACTTTTGAATATAAGGCAGGCGCAAATTGTGCTAAAGATTTGAATGATCTTTTGGGTTTTACAAACAAAATTGTGAAATTTGAAGACTACGGACTATTAACATTCCAGAACAAAATGCGCATTTTTGGGGAACAATTTTAATACTGGTAGAGGTTGTAGTGCTTACCTACTCCGTCAACCAAGTACACCTAACTACTAATGAAATAATTTTATGCCATTTCCGAGCATATTCTGCCAAAAAATTGTGCAAATCATGAGGCGTTTCCAAATCTCTAAGTAAAGTCATATGAAGAGTACTTTTTCAATTCAAGAACCACTGTTTTGACCACAGTCTCTTCTGTTTCCTATCTTCAAATAAAACTATATATCCTGCAATTATTGTCAGTTTCTTCTTATGATCCATAGCAATTACCACAGCACTCATAACCACACAACCCAGGGGCTAGCACTACAGAACTGAAATAGTGAGAGAACGCCGCCTGCTCGTCTATTGAGATTTGTCCGTGATCTGTGTACAGACATATCCGCCCTCGTATCCGCCTGTATGTCTCAAGGCGGATCTGTACGGCGGACAGATCCGCCTTGTACATATCCGCATGTGAATGGGGCCCTTTACATAAAGCGCATTTCCACTTGCATTCATTTCCCATTTATAAGATGCAACTTCTGATAAAATCGTAAAAATCCGGCCACAAATATGAAAGATAGCGTTGCACATGGGCAATCCATTGTTGACGTGCTACTTCAATTTCAGTTTATGAGAGGAATTTCATTTCAATGCTTTTCTAAATAAGAAAGTTGGAACTGCGCATGCGCAAACCTAAATTTTGAAACTAATGTTAGATTTTCCTTTGTTACAAGCGCCTATGTATCAAATTTCACTTAAATGCTTCCATAGATAAAAAAGTTGGCACTGCGCATGCGCAAAATAAAATTTTGAAACTGGCGCTAGATTTTCCTTTTCCCAAGTGCCTATGTATCAAATTTCGTTTAAATTATTCCATAAATAAAAAAGTTGGCACTGCGCATGCGCAAAACCAAATTTTGAAATTGGCGTTTGATTTTCCTTTATTGATTTTCCTTTATTCCAAGTGCCTATGTATCAAATTTCGTTTAAATTCTTCCATAAATAAAAAAGTTGGCACTGCGCATGCGCACAACCAAATTTTGAAACTGGCGTTTGATTTTCCTTTATTCCAAGTGCCTATGTATCAAATTTCGTTTAAATTCTTGGCACTGCGCATGCGCACAACCAAATTTTGAAATTGGCGTTTGATTTTCCTTTATCCCAAGTGCCTATGTATCAAATTTCGTTTAAATTCTTCCATAAATAAAAAAGTTGGCACTGCGCATGCGCAAAACCAAATTTTGAAATTGGCGTTTGATTTTCCTTTATCCCAAGTGCCTATGTATCAAATTTCGTTTAAATTCTTCCATAAATAAAAAAGTTGGCACTGCGCATGCGCAAAACCAAATTTTGAAATTGGCGTTTGATTTTCCTTTATCCCAAGTGCTTATGTATCAAATTTCGTTTAAATTCTTCCATAAATAAAAAAGTTGGCACTGCGCATGCGCAAAACCAAATTTTGAAATTGGCGTTTGATTTTCCTTTATTCCAAGTCCCTATGTATCAAATTTCATTCAAATACTTTTATAAGTAAAAAAAGTTTGCAATTCGGTTTATAAATGGTCGAGATGCGAAATGCGCAAAGGGCACTGTGAATGCTGATCGATTAGGTTCAACTTTTGGAATTGTGTTTTATATGGCTAAAGCTATTCGCATATTGAATTTCATGCAATTCGGTTCATAACTAATGGAGATGTCAAAAGGGCCTACTTTATTTTTTGGGCTACATTGCCAATTCACGAACTCCGATCTACAAATTTGATAAAGAATCCACCTGCAAAATTTCATCGCAATCGGTCCATTCGTTTATGAGTTATCGTGCTAACGGACGGACGGACGGACGGACGGACACAACAAAATTATAAACTCGCTAGGAGCTCGTTAATAATCATAAATACGAAGCTCCGGTGCAATCATTTATTGCTACGTAAAAAGCCCTTACAGGCGTACATAAATTGCAGCAACCAGTGCCACCACAGTTGATATAATTACAAAAGCGCAGAGTATAAACTAAAAAAATTAAATTGCAAAAAATTACAATTTCTAACCAACAACACTTACCTTATCTTGCCAACTTCTGTTCGAAATACAATTTTTGTAACCCATCTCAGTGAAAGTAATTGAATTATACAGTGGTATCCAATATTCTGGAAATAAATTGAATAAAATATTATCCACGAACTTTCGTATGCGGAAAGATGGTCGGATTACTAAGTCTCGCATTTCCACGTAATTATAGAGAGCGAGTTCACAAATGGCGTGCGCGTCATTTCGTCTTCTCTCTGTATAAGCCTCTAATGCCATCGAAATGTTATCATTGCAGTATTCAAGAACGGAGTTGAAAATTGCGCAATCTTCAAAACCGGCGTTCATTCCTTGTCCATAAAAAGGCAACATTGCATGGGCGGCGTCTCCTAACAGCAGTGACTTCGCATCGGTGTGAAATTTGCTACATTTCACATACATCAAAGCTGAGGGCTTGATTTTGAAAAAATGTTCGACGAGCTGTTCTTCGCCGATTAATGGTACAATATCGGGAAATAGCTTGTTAAAGAAACTCATTAATTGGTCGCGATGATCTAATTGTTCAAATTGTTTAAATGGCATAAAAAGAGTAACAGTCCAAGAATGATCGCTATTGGGCAAAGCTATCATCATAAAGTCGGATCTCGGCCAAATATGCAAATAGTTAGGAGCTAATAAATGTCCATACTCGGGCGTGATAGTCAGTTCGACATATCCATGGTTTATGTACGTTTGATTATAGTCAAACATGGGCTTTTGCATCATATATCTTCTCATGGTACTATAAGCTCCGTCTGCGCCAATTATTAAATCAGCTCGAACGTCGATGGTGACATTGGTTTTCGTTCTTTAAATAAACCAGTTTAATACTTGATCTCCGAAAAAAAAGTCTTACTGTAAAAACTTAAGCTGTCCACTTTCGATTTTGGCATCCACAAGTTTGTGATCAAATTTTATTTGAAGGTTATTATATTCACCCATTGCTAGTCAAACATGGCATTATGGAACACAAACTAAATTTTTATAAACAAATCAGCATACATACCGTCAAGTAACCGTCTATTCAAATAATTCCGCGAGACCGAGTAGATACACTGAAATGTGTAAGACTGTAATCAGCTTCAGAAATTGCCCTCATAGTAACCTACTTCTTTGTTTTTGGGGTCATAAAAAATAGGCACATGTTTCCCGTTTGGTTGGTGTAGGTATCGTCCTCTCATCGGTACGCTAACCTTAAGTATATCTTCCTCCAAGCCCAATTCGCGTAGGGCTTTACGAGCTCGATTGGAAACTGCCAAATTGATTGACCTTCCTCTCGTATACCCACACTCTCGTGGATCTGAAACGTTGGTAAAAGGATCAAGAGGGTGCACATTGTTGGACTACGACGGCCGGTTATAGCACAACGACTGAATAAACAGAAAATTTCAAATATTATCCAATCATACTTTTCGAATCTTTCACTGTAATGAACTAGCTCACATAAGTAGTGGTTATGCATTCACAAAAGTTATGTTTTATGTTGTTGGTGTATTGAAGTAGGTGATGGTGATGCCAACATTGCTCGTAGCTCTTCTGATTTGATTTCTTTAGGTTGTGAAACAGAGGAATTTGGCAATTACCTATCCACATTGTCATCGATAACATTATATAAACAAAATTTAAATAATAAGTAGAGAACAAACCAGATCGACATTCGTACAGTGTAACGTTGTATCCACGTTTAGACATATACAAGGCACATACTGGTCCCACCTATAAAGTAGAGATTATCAATGTAATTAGTGGTATAATTTTTTAAAGAAACTCACAAGCCCTCCACCTACAATAACGATTTTGCGATCTGTAGTCATGATGTTGTTTTCGCGAATACCAACAACTGAATATCATTTTCATTTTACGAGATATAAGGGTGTAATTGATATGATTTCCTATGGGTTCCGTAAAGAGCTCGAATAGACCGTACGATATACGCATATATAGTAATTCTGCGGTTAGATTTATTTACTTACCTATCTCATTCACTGGCTACTTAATTAAACCTTTGAATATATAAATAAAGTGAAAGAGATTTATTTTACTTCATCAATACGAATATATTAGATAAAAATTACTTCTTTATATTTCGACAATTTTATTGCATGTCTCCCTTGTTCGTTAGTTACTAAAGTGAATGTTTCCATTACAGAAGCGCTGATCATACATCATATCAGATACGTATCTGACATGAATGACCCGCGTGAAGTTAGCCCCCCCCCCCCCAAATTAAAATAATGAAATATAATGAAATATCAAATTCTACCTTCGTTGCACATTTAGGCACACTTCGATTTTTCGTTTGCACATTTCTGACGATTGCAACAAATATTTTTTATGATGGTTAACACAATTTCAATTTAATAAATATTATATTATTATCTTTAAATATTATAAATGTATTTTTTATTGTTATATTTATATTGATATTACTGTTTGTTATATATTATATTCTTTGTGTTTTGACAAATGTAAGATCTCATGCGCAATAACATGAAATAAATATAAAAATAAAATATGAAAAATATAATACGGGCACTTTTTTTTAAATCTAAATCTGTTATCAGAATTTCAACACGCTAGAAGTAGAAGCTACAAGCTACTACTTTCTTGTTCTTTATGGGCGCCGCATTGGATTTTTACGGAATGAGATAGAGGTCAAAAAAAGGAATTCATTTGAATGTATCGCCATAATAGTCATGTTGATTCAGCAAGATCTAGTTACCCGTGGATGTTTTGTTGAGAGAATTGAGAAATTTTTCTTGTAAATAAAATGTGACGCGTTATTATTTTTCTCTTTTTTGTCCTCTCTCTCATTCCGTAAAATCCAGCATGGCGCCCACAAGAAATAAGAAAGATAGCTTCTACATCTAGCGTGCTATGGAGATTCAGATTCTCAAAAAACGTGCTGATAGAAGATGATAACAAAATTGGTCCATTTCCGACCGTTTAAGCCTAGGTTTAAGCTATGAAAAATGAAAACAAAATTTGACATTTTCAGATTTTCGGTGATATCTCAGTTATTTTCAAATTTTTCAAAAGCATTTTTTTTGTCACAAACAGGGGCCACTTTGTCCCCATTCAACCTACACTGTATCTCTCGTCGTTACGGAGATCCTAATGGTGCGTCACGAATTTGAATCACCCCGTACTCTACATTTTTTTATTATTGAAAAATGTTCCTGCACCAACGACATCAAAATGTTAAAAATTTAATAGCAAGCTTTTTTTGTTGAAAATCTACTAAGTGTTTTTTTTTTTTTTTAATTTAAATTAACGTGCCTCTGCTACTAATGGCCATTGGCATGGGTACAAATACACAAAACTTACATTATGTAGAAAAACAAGGGTAAACGACAACAATAAGTACTATAGTATCAGTGATGTTAAATAGAATTGTAGACGCTTAATGTCTTTAAGATTTATAGGCCAGTTGACACAATTGTGGTGCGTCTTAAGCGTCCACTTTAGATCACCTTTTCAGATTGGATCGGAATCCTTTTGTTCGCAAATTGTGGACAGTCCACAAATGTAGCACAATTTAATGTATAGTAGAATATGAGCTGGATTTAAAACTCGAGGTTCTGATGTCCGAATGCTAGCCCGAATTCAAGAAGATTAACCAATTTTTTAATTAAACCTGACAATCTGACATTTTTATAAATACCTAGTTAGTTAATTGAAAGGTATGGCCTTTCAATACCAAATTACCATAAAAAAGGCGGGCAATTGCTGGCAAATGTATTCGGCTCATACACACAATTTTGAGTAGTTTATACGATGTAATTTTGAATTTCTTTATTATGATAACTAGTGAAATATAGAAACTATGAGTTCTAACGTAGATACAATAAATACTTAGCTAAAACAATGGTGTATTTGAAATAATTGGTTTAAACTTTTACGTGAATTCAGCTGTTATTGACGAGTATTGCTTCTTTCGCGTAGTAGGGGTTGGTTTGGGATTTGTAGCTCCATTGGCACTGCTGGCGCTCCGGTTTTTTTCCGTTTTTCCAGCGTCTTGAACGACCAATCAATCGATTCATTTTTGTCGATTTTAATCGAAAGCGATTTCGGTTCGTAGAGGTCCTTCTTGGACCAGAAAGTGAGTCGAGGGGGGGGGGGGCAGATCTACAGAATCGAACACCTTCAGTAGGTAACTAAAATGATTTTGACAAGTAAATCAAAAAGATTCCTTGAATTGAGGTCCACTCAAACCGACGCGGAAATCCTGGAACGAGAGGAAGGGATATATTTCTACAGCGGTATATACGTGCGAGCTACTAGTTCATAAGCGCCTTAAGTGCCCCCTCACACTCTGCCTTTTACTGCTGACCATAGAAAACCTAACCCAGGTTTTCTATGCTGCTGACGGGGCATTGACGTATTTTCTAAGAAATTGATTTTATCTTTCATATTTCATAGTATTCTAATTAACGGTCTCAACAAAAAGAACTGTTCTTTACCAAGTATATCGCCCTTCTTTCTTAACCCTTATTAAAATAGAAAAGAATTAATTTCTACTCACCATAGTTCTTCTTCTCGGTCCCTTATCGTGATCGGTTATGACCCCACATTCCCACCCACTGCTAAACTTATGTATTTTGCTTCGCATGGGCTAGATAGAGATGAAAATATATAGCATAATTTGTGTACCAGTTTTGCAGTGAGCGGCTACCTGCTGAAGGAACGGTTCGAAATCAAATGAAGTTGAATGGAAAATTGTATCAGGAAACGATGTAGGTATACGGTACGTTTCTGAAAGGATACATTTTACGTTGGAGAAAGGATTTGAATAGAGGGCAGATGTTCTCGAAAACTGTGAATGTATGGGAAGAAAAGCATAGCATGTTATTCCAAAGCCAAACACTGGTATATATGCATGTAAAATACCATGTGAATAAATTGAAAAACAATGCGTAAAAAATTTTACATCTGAAAAAGTATTGCTTGGTGGATTGGAAATTGTATACGTCTGTGGACCGACTCAAGCGATGCCTTTGTGCAGATCTAAGTATTCGATTAATTTGTTTTAAAGTCGAGTATTCGACGAGTTGCAAAAAGTATTTTTCATGAACAAAAAATGCGATATTTGTTGTAGAAGCTTTGGTAGTATAGGAAACTATATGAAGGAATTCTTATCAAATTTGTCTCTCCTTCTTGGCCTAAACCGGCAGAATTATTTATGTCCTTGATAAACCGACGTATTTATATCTTTATTGGGAGAAATTGGCATACCTGATCTACAAGTCATATAAGTCAAAGGAAAAATGTTCGGTGATTTTACAGTGGCTTGTCCCAAGACAATTTGTTGAAAACGATAGCGTGTCTTACAATGTTATCGTTTCCGTCTCATATAGTGCACTATTTTTTTTACTGTCACTATAATATAATGTACTAATGCTTACAGCTATAATTAGACTTGTTTGCAGTTCATATTTCACATTATTTTGAAAGAAATCTGTTCAATTCATTAGTCTAAAATATGCACACTGGAACGTTTCGCCAACTAATAGTCATGCGATCCAAAAAATCTTTTTGATACTGATTCTAAATCCGTGACGATTATAAAACGGTAAACAATGGGGAAAAAGCAAATCTACTTATAGCTATGTGGGATCAATCCAAGCTCAGTCCGCAAAGTTAATACAGTAGTGGGGTAGCGTCGCGACGGTCGTCTCTTACTCAGTGGACGGCAGCATGTGGTGGTGGCTGCTGCTTGTGGCATTGGTAACAGCTAAACGCGCACCGACCCATCAGGAACCTGTCATCGAAGAGGTCAATGCCAAGCAGCTGGAACGTTTACTAGACGAAAAGGATTATGTGGCTGTGTTCTGGTGTAAGTAGAAGTGACGGTGTGAACAATTCTATTATGATCATGTGCAAATTAACTAACAAGAAAAACACAACATTAAAGTTGGTAACAGTTAGTGAGTGTAGAATATCAGTCCGGGAGAGATTCCCATGTCCCAATTTGGCGCGCCCGACTATTCTACGGTTGCTCGCCGATCTGTACGTTACAGTGCCACGAGGATTTTTATATTCCATGAAACACGTGTCCTCCCGCACTCTAAATACTTTTAATAGATTACGTTTTATTCATAGGTTACAAACTAAAAAATGTTCATTGCGGCATTGGTCATTAACCCCAAAATTAATTTAAGACGGTCTCCGGACCGGACTATTTAACATTAACAATACAAATTCCTGAGACAACAATTTTTATTTAACTTTAATTTGGCAGATGCAACTGAGACTACCCAACTATTATTATATGTCAGTAATTTTGCAACGACTCACTACTAATGAAGTTACTACAAAATTAAAACATATGATGCGGTCAAAAATAGCTCAATAAGCATTATGTCTACTGGTCCAAAAACTTACCTAACTAAAGTAGTCGGGGATTCGTAAACGTTTAACGGGCGGATTAAAACAAATGATATTAAGTACCTACTGTTCTTTGCAAGCATCTACCTATCGTGATACTTACATCAATTTGATGAAATTTAGATTACGCATATTTCCCAAGCCTTAAAGCACATTAACAAAATTCTCCTTCCGAGTGTTTTTGACGTTGAAAGTAATAGGAAATAGCACAAATTTCAAAATTTCGAGTCAAAAGAATAACAAACCGTGTGATTTTCAGCCCTAAGTAGTAGCAAAAGCTAAATGTTTAGGAGAATCCCTACTTTTGCTTACACAACGTGTTATGTATTTTGAAGAATTGTATCACATTAAAATTGAATTATTTATAAACGGAAATTAAATCCACGACTTCTTCCAATCTACTGAAGTTGTATTTTTGGCTGGAAATAACATAATTTATAACAATTTTTATGGAATGAAAAACATTTTGAAATTTCCAAGAAACACTCATGCAACTTACCTATATAGGCTATGGGACGATCATTAGTGACTAACAAGCTAATGAAGAATTTCTGAACTCGTTACAATTTTTATCGTATGTATTGGATAGCGTTCATCCGTCATTTTCTCAATATACCATTTTAACCATTTTACACATAAACATTTAAAGGTCTCCTCCATCAATACCTACGCTATGTAGTGCAAGAAAAATCAAGCATTCTCCAAAATATTGTTTTTTCCTTTGTAGATACTTGCCTCCAACATTTTCGAAATATTCACAATTCAGATTTCACATCGCCAGTACAGTAGGTGGTCTCGTCTAGACGATTCTTTCGTCCTTTATGAATAATACCCTCTTCCAACACTTCGTTTTCAAGATATTCGCTTTGATTTCAGCAATAGGCGCGTCTCTGACCTTTCATCACGATACCCTGAAGACTAGATCCAGTGGCTCCCCCTTCCCCTTCTCCTCAATTTTGATTTAGGGCAAGAAAGAATGGCGGTAGTTGCTACCCCACCTCCCACCCCATCGCCTACTGGTCTCCATGAAAGACAGTTACACTTTGTAGAAACCAATTCCTTTCGGCGAGACCTTTCATTAAAATACCATGAATGGTGTTTACCCTCCTAAAAACTAAAAAGTGTACTCTTTAATAATATGTGTAATGAAAACTAGATTTGCCACTAAACAATAGGCCTCCCCTGATCACGCAGAAGTACGCCAACAGCTAACCTCAGTTGCAGTCTTCTCTGCAATGTTTGCCTGGAAGCAACTAACGGACGATCAGAAATGGGTTGCTGTCGAGTCGCCTTTGGAAGTTCAAGTTAAGTACGATTTCTCATGTAAACAAAAATTCCAAAGGTGACTCGACAGCAACTCATTTTTGATCGCATAGTATAAGTATGGGGTACTTTCGATAAGTAAGATGTTGATGATGATCATTGATTAACAACATTATCTAAAATAGCATACGTAATAAACTCAACGAACAGGAATATGAAGGAATACCTATAACTGGTTGCATAAAGGTGAAGCCTCCTTTCTTTAAATAAAATTTTAAGTTTCTAAGTGTACTTTAAAATTCTGTAACAAAATAATTAACTGATCAACGGCTAGCTGTGGTAACCTAATTTTTTTTTACGGTGACGTACTTACTGAAAAATGTGTCCTTTTCTAATTTCGTTGAAACGTGACTTCAAGACTTAGTCCTAACTTGCTAGCAAAAATGAAACACAAAATTACCGAAAAGTTATGGATATATTAACGAAAAATTCAAAAAACAAAATGGTTGTAATTTACATTTCCCTTTACAGAATTTCTTATTTTTAGTTTTTGTTATGAATAAATAGATCAAGTTCGTGGTCACGGTCTTTATGAATTACCTTAACTTATTTTCGAATTTAATAACAATATACGGCACAATTGTTATATACATACAGTTCGTCTAACAAATAATCATAATGGACCCACTAAATTGGAGATTCAGATGTTCCTTATAATTTTCTTTGACCAAGTTCAAATTATAACAATTTTTCTTCAAACCTTAATTCGACATAAGTAAACAAACCTCTCAGTATCTCGTAAACATAATGTGTTTGTAGATAACGCTGTTGGTGCAAAAATAAGCTCGGAACTGCTTCCTTATAACGACAATGATGCGAACAATTAACTGATGGATCGATCGGAACTTTTCCCGTCGAGAAACGTCAATCGGTGAAATTTCCGGTGTAATTCTGTGTTTAGATTGTAAGCAAACAGCATTTTTTTTAACATGTTAACATGTTATTTACTTTTTTTATTATTCACACCATAGGAGAAATTGTTTTCACTGAATGATTTTTACACGTTAAATTTTTTATAAATATCCATTCAACTGCAAAGGGCTATAACCTTTTTATGGTTACGAATTCCACAAAAAAAACTTCAATTCCCTTTTGTTCAATAACAACGCCATGAAACTGAATGCGGAATTCTTTTTATTAGTTCATTGTCAGTGTCACGGAAAAATATCCTGGTGCGGTTAATTAATTTGTCCTTGGTGGAATCACGGTTGTTTTAGTTTATGTTACTGAGACGTGCGTAACTCGCAATAACCTTTATTTCGTCCGAGTGCACAATAATTCTTTATTGTAGTGTGATAAATGACACATTCCCTTAACTCGCCTGTAGGTATTATTGGGAAGTTAATGCTCCCGCGACCAAGAGAGCGAATTCTTCAAAAACTTTCCCGGATTCGTTCTCCTCAAAGCAAATCTCTTTAGTCACACTGAATATAACATTAGGTTTATATTCAAAGGTCACACGAAGATATTTATTTTAAAGCAGATGTTAAGTTGACACTTTAATAGGTTTAAACGAGTAGACTAAGTCGCTCTGTAACCGTGAGATAAAGTGACCACTTTAGCCGTAAGGGTAGATAAAGTGAAACAGATGATTGTGCATTCTTCTCACTCTTATTTCAAATGGGACACGGAGCACGATATAAAATGCCATTCCGACCATATGACAATGCTGTTTCTATGAAAACGACCACGACGGCAGAACCAATGATGCTACATAAATATAATATAGGATTGCCTGATCTCTATACTAGTAATGTATCCCGCCTTAACTCATATGCCGACCCTAATTGCCAATTGCCACAGGGTTCAAATCCTGGCCCTCTTATGTTTTTAATATTTATAAACGACATCTCGAATTGTTTTTCATGTAATAATCTTATTTTTACCGACGATCTTAAAATTTTCGCAAAAATATCTTCTATCGATGATTGTTTATACTTACAGGCGAATATAAATAACTTAAATGCGTGGTGCTCATTAAACAAACTTAAACTGAATATAAGTAAATGTAGGGTGTTGTCATTTACAAGGAAGCGAAAACCGATACTATATGAGTATCACATAGATAGAGTTGGCCTTAGCCGTGTCAACTCTGTTAAAGATCTTGGCGTCACATTTGATTTTCGTCTCAGCTTTAAGGAGCACATACACTCGATTTGCACCTCAGCTATGAAAACCCTGGGATTTATCATAAGAAATACGAAACAATTTAAAAATATCAATTTACTCTTTCGTTTGTATTACTCCTTGGTGCGCTCTAAGTTCGAGTATTGCGACCTCGTATGGTATCCACTATACAACGTATATAAACATGACATTGAAAACATTCAGCGAAGATTTTTAAAATACATTGTTTTCAAAATCGATAGCGAATACCCGCAACGTGGTTTTCCTCAGGACACGCTGTTGGCACGTTTTGACGTTCACTCAATGGAACAAAGACGAGTAGCTAATAGCATTAAGTTTTTATACAAACTTGTAAACAATACTTTAGATTGTCCTTATTTACTTGAAAAACTGTCATTTACTATACCAATGTATTCTACCAGGCATTTAGACACCTTCACTTATCCTACTCCAAAATCCAATCTTCTTCGTAGAACTCCATCTTTAATAATGGCATGTAATTATAATATGTATTGTCAGAACTGTGACATTAATTATAATTCTTTATCGAATGTTTTAAGTTCTATTTTTAATTAACAGAGTTTTGTAATTATTATTTTGCCTTCATTCATAGAATTGCTTTCTTTGCAACATTAAGTGTACCATTATATACACATACCCTTTTCTGTTATTGTTTGTTTACTTTTCTTACTAATTTGTAACAATTATATTCCATTTATCTTTTTTTTTATTTTACTTTTTTTATAATAATTTAATAATAATGTATGTATACGCCTTCTATATTTACTTTTATAATTGTTCATTTATGGATTACTAAGTCTGTTGAACAATAAACATTACTAAATGGGACGTCACCAACGGACCTGCCTGTCGGAGTTGAATGTTATACTTTGCTTAGTTGTAAACGTCTTTGCATTAGTTGCTATGTTGCAAGAAAAATGCCTGGACCCCGCCGATGTGCAGTATTGAACTGTAATAACAATTGTAGGTAGTATTCAC